TAAATCAGGGACGCCTGGGGCAGAGCTGGACTATCGTAAGGGGGGGGGCTATGAGGGGTCTGGGGTGGCATCCCCTCCCACCCCACTCCAGACCCCTCAGAGCCCCCCCTTCTGATAGTCTGGCATATCTGATTAATCCAGCACCCCCTGGGTCTTAAAGGTGCCGTATTATCGGAAGTTTACTGTAGTGGGCTTGCTGTACTGATGTCCTTGTAAACCTTGTTCCGCAAGGAGTAAGGGACGTTTTTGGAACAGCGGGTTATTTCGAAATTTGTCACTGTGTAGATGGTGCCAAATTAAGAAATAAGCTATTTTGAAATAAGCTAGGTAATTTGCGTAGCTCAAATTGTGTAGCTTATGTCGAGCTACCGGTGCAGTGTAGACATACCCTGAGTGTCCATGGAGTGGGCTGTTCCATTGATGGTGTTTTGAGACTTGAAGTACCTCTACGAGCAAAGACAAAACCAATGATTGGTCAGTTCCAGCTGACTTGGGCTGGGGGGCTGTGTCACTGCTGTATGTTCTTCCAGGCTCAGACGGGAGTCCTGGCTCTAGGACACAGTGGGGTGGGAGAGCCCCAGAGAAGTCTACACAGCATTGAAGAAGCTCTGCAGCCCAAGGCCCACAAGCCTGAGTAGAATGGCAGGGGCCAAGAGTGGGCTTTCCTTATGTACCCGTTATGCCCTTCTAGAACTCAGGACTTGCTAGAACCTCCTTGCGTCCCATGCTCCAGAAAGTGTCATCTGAGCTCACGATATCAATATTGTTCTTTGCTGGGGGTGAACTTTTCCTGCTCTTTCTAAAAAGGCCCTCGATCTCCCCCTTCCAATCCTAGTTTTGGAAAACTGGGGCCATTCCAGGATGGAATAACTTATCTTCAGCTTCTGCATTTAACTGTGCCAGCACAAGGGCATAAGCCTCAAATCTGTGCCAGGGCTAGTGGATGCAGATCCCCAGCTAGGACCAGTGTTGCTACCTCGTTGACACAGGCAGTTAGTCTGAGTCTCTCTCTTCAGACCCTTGCCCTTCCTGACAAGTCTAGGTTGGCCCACAGTTCATTGCATCCACTGTTCCAAACAGACAGGGATGGCTTAACTTTGTCTGAGGTTGCTATAGCCTCACAGGTTCGATATGGATCCTCACTGGGTGTTCAAAGGGGTGATTGAAATTTAGCTAAAAGGACTTTTTGTCCTTTCCTATTTAAAAGCTGCTGGTAGCTAAATACATGCTGGTTTTAAAACCTAGGTAACAAGTGGAATTTCAAGAAGATGGTGAGCTATAAGGAGATGCTGGATACAGTCAGGCAGAGATGGCCTGAGTTGGAGAAGCTGCCCTGCGAGGCCTCCAGCACAGCCAAGGTGGGTGCAGGCTAAGAATACTAGGAAGGGAGACCCAACGCTTCAGCAAAGTGTGCAACAGCTTGTGTTTGGAATGGCTAGAGTGAAGAGAATCAGCATGTGGCATAGTGCTCTGTAGTCATGTATGTAATGATTCCAAGGCACGCAGCCTCAGGAAGCAGTAATCGCTAATTATACCCATGGAAATTCCAGGTACCTAACAAGTACTCGTCTGTCCGGTACAAGTGTCAGTGAGTCACACATGTTAGGGCTTACTGGTGGGGAGGGTAACCAGAGAGCGCGTTCTGGTTGTTACTCATGGGGGTTTCCCAGGTATGAATAGTACTAAACCTGTATTCTCTACGCATATCTTTCTTCCCATTTTAGTCTTCATTCAAACCTGGGATCTAGAGATTTAAATTGTTTTGTTTATTTAAATCACATAAAATAAGTTTAGGCCTTAACATAGGTTGTCATGTCAAATATAATTTTAAGTGGGAGTTATTTTTAAAAAGAACTGTACTGAATTTAAAATCATACTACATTTTTAAACGGTTTTATCATTGACTTTTATCTACCCTGATCTATTCTTCCTTCCTGGGGGCTGCTTCAGGCTTACAAGGTACCGGATTTCCAGGGGCAGATCAGCTTTATTACTTCCATGTCTGAGCACTTCTGTGGATCTTGCAATCGGCTGAGGATAACAGCAGATGGGAACCTCAAGGTAGGCAATGCAACAAGATGCCCTTCGCCTACTAACAGTTGCAGTAGGAGGTAGAATAACTCCTCTTACATGGAACAGTGTTGGGGCATGTCTACACTAGGAAATTATTTCAAAATAATTAACTTGAAATAACTCCTGAAATAACTATTTTGAAATAAGCTTATTCCCCGAGGAAAGCAGGAGTACAGATTTCAAAATAACCAGCCTGTTATTTCAAAATAATGGGGTTGGTAGTGTGGACACTCCACTTATTATTTTGAAACAAGAGGGGGTTATTTCAAAAGAACTCCTTAGCATAGACCAGGGCTTGGAGACGGAAGAGGTAGTAGTGGGAAGGAGAGAGGGAGGAAAGTAGGGAAGAGATTTAGAAGGGAAGGGGACTGTCAGGGGGCCAGGAGAAGAGGAGTTCAAATGCTGACTATAACTATACTCTAAACTGCAATGTAAAAAGAGGAATTGATGGCCGAAGAATTGCTCCATTGTGTAACACACAGATTTAAAAGAATGGTGTCATGGCTCCTTCCCCACTCTGGCATGATAAATGCAGAAGTGGGGGCCAGCAAGTGTATCCCAAAGCCTTATCTACCAGGCTTTGGTATAAAACTTCCCCCAAAATCTTAACCTAGATCTTGGGAATAAAACTTCCGCTGCCACCACCCAAATATTGATAAAGAAATCAAGGGAAAGATCATTTGGGAAATCTCACCCCTAAAATAAAAATCAGGGCACACTATTAACCAATGCAAGGTTAATAAAAAGAAAAGAAAGAACTTTTATTATTACAACAATATTCCTATTGCAAGCATAATGACTAGATGGGAAGGTAACAAAATATACTCATGGAGAAACTCCATGGGCCTAGAACTTAGGGTGTGTCTAGACTACTGAGTTTTGTCGACAAAAGTGGACTTTTGTCGACAAAACTATACCTGCGTCTACACTACCGCTGAGTTCTGTCGACATAACGTCGACAAAACTCAGCGGTTTTGTCGACGCTGGTAAACCTCATTTTATGAGGCATAACACCTTCTGTCGACAGAGTCTGTCGACAGAAGGTGTTATTGCTTGTAGGGTTGCGTCTAGACTACAGGGTTTTGTCGACAAAGCAGCTTGCATTGTCGACCAAACTGAATGTGTCTAGACGCTCTATGTCGACAGAAGTTTTGTTGACAGTATCTGTAGACAAAACTTCCGTTGACAAAACCCTGTAGTCTAGACGTACCCTTAGTTACAAAGAAAAGCCAAAACATCTTTTAAACATCCCATACCCAACCCTTAAAACAATAAAGCCTAACGAAACTACCTAAACGTTACCCTACTTACAAAATGAAGAATTGTTTCTTGGAGAGAGAGAGACATGCTTGTCCCTTTCTGTAGCTGCAGAGGACTCACTCAGAGACAAAAGGAAAAAACCCAAATTCCTTTGTCCCAGTTTGAAAGTCCCACCTACATTCCTATTGGCCACTCCACCTGGCTAGGTGTAGTTAACCCCTTAATCCCCAGGCTGCTGACTAACCCTCATAATCATGACAAATGGTATTGTCAATTAAAAAAAAAATAGATTCAAGTATGCCTGCCTGAGTCCCCTGCTAATGTCTGTGGTTTTATACTTGCAGATTTTCCTTTCTCTGATTTTAAAAAAGTATTTTCTGTGTTGATACACCAGTGTCCCTGACCATCCTGTGGTCACAGTGACACAAAATGATTTCAAACACAGAAAGCGAAGCGGGTGAGGAATACGTTTTACTTATTTTTACTTTCAATAGAAAACTCTTTTTAAAAAAAGTTTTACAAAAATATTGTAAAAATGGCCTTACAAGGGTCAAATTCTCTCATTTTAAATGAGTGTTTTTCCATATACCTTTCAATACTTGTATGTTGAAATCCATTTTGTCTCCGGACCCTTTGCTGAGCAAAAGATTAGGTGTCTTAGAAGTTAGTGGAGATGACACAGTTGTACTAAAGCAATTTGCTTAAGAGCAAAGTGACCCCATGAGAGGGATGGCAACTCTGTACTGGCATCAAATCAATTGGTGCACATTCTTAGCAACTGCAATACATTTCAAAATCTAGTCTGTTTAAAAAAAAAAAAAAAAAAACCCTGCTTGAATACCTGCTTCCTGGATAACCCCTGGAAACCACATTAGGGCATCTTGCACCCCTGCTAAGGTGCAAGAAGACATACAACAGGAGGAGAGATGAAGGGAGGAAATAAATCTCATGACATCTCTACCTGCCTGCTGTGTTTCCAGGTGATCCTGTTCTATATACCCCTAAACTCAACAGCTGGCCGGTAGTTTTAAGAGTACTACAATTAGGAGAACTGTAGGCATTATTCTTTCATAGACCAGGTTGGTTTTTTTGCTGCCTTATGTTTAGGGTTGCCAGGTGTCCTGTATTGACCCGGACAGTCTGGTATTTTTACCTCCTGTCCGGTTTAAAAAATATTCAGAAAACACCTAAAATGTCCGGAATTTTCTGATTTTCTGATTTTTTTCCCTGCTAGGAGGTGAAAATACCAGACACCTGGCAATCCTATGGACACACTCAGCAACTGGGCCCAACCCCGGCCCCTTCCCCTCCCTCCCACTTACCTGGTTCCGCAGGGGCTTGTCTTGTGGCTGGAACAGAAAAACAAGATGGCCACCAGCAAAAAAAACCTCTTCTTAAAGGGGTCATACGGATTTTTTTTTTCCTTAACTGCTGTTGGGGTCCCTCTCTTTTGGGGGGCTCAACAACTTTTTTTTTATCCTGGCTGGTTTTTTTTTTGGGAGGGCGCAGGGGGAGTTGTTCAGTATTTTTGGTTAAACCATCTGGCAACCCTACTTATGTACAGGTGACTTGCTGTAGTACTAGATCCTGTTGAGTTCACAGCCAAACATCGTGAGGCTCCCCAGATGTTGGATCTGTTCTGAGTCGAATTTTGTGCATTGCAGGCAGCTGAATCTTGTTATCCAGCGTTCAGTCATGCAGGCCCAGTACTGCAATGAACCCCATGTAATTGCCCATCCCATGTAATTGCTTCCATGCCACAGTTAAATACTTGAAATGTTCATCCTTGCAAATGACCTTGGGGAGCCTGGGCTCTATAGGGCTTGTTTCTTACATATTCATTTGAAGACTAATGACTCCCATTTAGCTTTTTGAAGGGTATGGAATTGCAGCTTCTCCATTCTGCTGAGACCCTCACAGCTGCCAGGGGCTAGGCAGAGACAAAAGAGCAGGTTCATACCCTGGTCTACAGAGACCCAGGTGCATAGCTGGGAAGAGACTCTGCTTTTGCTCCGTATTCACCCAGGATGCTGAGAGAGGTTGTAATAGGGATAGTGTTTCCAAGCTGGCTTTGTTCACCTTGTCTCCTCTGCCGCCTCCCCTTGGTTTATTGCAGGTGTGCCTTTTTGGGAACTCAGAAGTGTCCTTGAGGGATCACCTACGGTCCGGTGCTTCGGAGGACAAATTGGTTCAAATCATCGGAGCAGCAGTGGGCAGGAAAAAGAAACAGCATGCTGGTATGTTTATTGCATCAAGTAATAATGAAGGGCGAAGGCAAACAGTATCCTTTGTAGGATGACTCTGAACACTCGGTAGCAGGGCTATTCTGTGGAATTCTAGTGACTCGGGAGAGGACACCATGAGGCTCCAGTAGATGAGGAGCATTAGTGAGGCAACTGGGAATAGGTCAGCCTCAATGTTCCAGGTTTACTCTGGAGTTTGGGAACTTTTCTGAATCTTTCTCACCCTTTTCTGAAGCCCAGGCTGTCTAGTAGCTGGGTGGATTTCTGGTGTGTCAGTGGTGCTGTAAATAGAACTCAGGAGGGTAGCTGTAAATGAGTACTCCCTGGAGGCAGCCCTGTAAGTGGCACCTCCGCTTCCCTCTTGAGTAACGCAAACACTCTGCTTCAGGCTCTGCTTAAACATCTCTGCTGGGAGCCAGTGTATGACAACAATGTAGTCCATAACAATAGTGCTAAAACACAGTCTTTATCACCCCAGTGCACAGCATGGCTTCTTATCGGTCCTCAGTCCCTCAACCAGGACTGCCACCCCAGCCTGCTCTTCACAGCGGGAAGGCCCACAGCCCCTCTCTGCTTCCTTGCCAAGGAAGCATCTCTCACTCCCTGTGACCCTCTCACCATTCCTTGGGGTCCAGTGACTAAAGCCACCAGCTGCTCTCTCCTTTCCTTGAGTCTTCTCTGGTCCTTGGCTCTGGTTCAGAACCAGCAGACAACTCTGGTTTAGGCAGGTCAGCCAGCAAGCCCTTCTAGCTGTTCCTCTGCCTTCAGCCTCATTTCAGGAGAACCACTTTCTGTCTCTGGCGGCTTTTATCTCTGGCCCCTCTCCTCTTTAGGTATTACTATCCCTAGTGGAGCCCTGCAATTTATGGTTAACCTGCCATCTTGTTCCACTTTGTAGCATTCTGTGATCTCCACTTTTTCTCATTCGAAATAGATAACACTGCAAGTACCAGAGCTAGATTGCTGATCCATCTAGTCTGATAGCTAGTTTCTCACAGTGACCAGTTCTGATTCTTGGGAGCAAGCTGAACGAAACTGCCAAGATACAGCTGGGTCTGCAGCACTGTGCTGGGGATGGAGAATGGTTTCAGAGCCCCTGTGGTGATGCATTTACAGTCTGAGGCTGGAGACTGGATTATTCCTATCTAAGCTGGTGGTGCTTGCAAATGATTGTATTCACAAATCTTCTCCAGCTGCCTTCAAAAATTCAGCTACAGTATGGAGCTGACCCCCTGCGGAGTGAATTCTAGACTCTGACTCAGTGCTGGGAGGGCGTATTTCCTTTTTTGTTCTAAATACACTTATACCATTAACTTAGAGTGGTTCTTTTGTTCTCTTATAAATCCTACTAGGCCCCTCACCATTGTTGTTATCCTTCTCTGGAGCTAGTAAATCTCTGCAGTGGGAATAGGGGGCTAAAGCTGAGTGCCCTGTCTCAAATGAGGGGGTGTATCCAGGCTTTTCACCTTCTGTCAGTCGAATCTTTTGTTGAAACCCCCGAACATGCTAATGCTTTTCTTGTACTACTGCCGGTATACACAGAGCAGATCTCTTCATGTCCGTAGGGCCATCAGCACTCTTCAACATATAAACCTAGGTTCATTGTCATTGTGCACAACTTGTACTTAAACACAGTTGGGTCTGCCACCATGCTGTCCAGTAAACCTAAACTGTACCTCTGTCTGGAGTCTTTCACTAGCTTTTCTGTACTAACAAGAACACTTTAAAATCATCAGCAAATAACAATTGGGTGTTTCCTTCTGCCTCCGGATTATTTGTAAATGCTGTACCAACCCTGGGAGCTCCCACTATTAGCCTCCTTGTACTGCAAGGTGTGCAGGTGTACTGGGGGAGATACAGTTATGTGTGTAACCTTTTTACCTAGACAGTGAAATTCCATTGCTGCTCCTGAAGTATGACTGTCTGGCTAAGGTACTTGAATGGCTCCTGTATGTCTCATGCCTCTGCCGACAGAGGCATGTAAAATAGGCTACCCGACATAGTCAGTGAAGCGGGGATTTAAATATCTCCGGCTTCATTAAAATAAAAATGGCCACCACGCTGTGCCGGCTCAACTGATCATCAGCACAGCGCACAAGTGGGGACGTGGATCAGTCGACAGAGAACACCTTTGTCGACCGCTGCTGTAAACCTCGTTTCACGACGCATAAGGGAGCAGTAAACAAAGGCGTTCCCTGTCGACCGATCCGCGTCTTGACTGCTGTGCTGTGCTGTGCCGACAATCAGCTGAGCCAGCACAGCGCGGCAGCCATTTTTATTTTAATGAAGCCGGGGAGATTTAAATCCCTGCTTCATTGACTGTCAGTAGCCTATTTTACATGCCTCTGTCGGCAGAGTCATGTAGTCTAGACATACCCTGAGTGTCTGTAGCTGTGACTGCCACACTTCTCAAAGGCCACATAAATACTATTATCTCCATGTTTTTTCCTGCTTCTAGCGGGGGTTTGGACTTGATGACCTCCTGAGGCCTCTTTCAACCCTGTGATTCTATGTATGGGAAACTGAGGCACCGGGCGCCTATATGACTTTCCCATGTAACAGGAAGTTTTGTGATAGAGCAGGGGATTGAACCTTGGTCTCCCAAATCTTAGGCTAGTGTTCTAACCGCTGGAAACCATCTTTCTCCAGGCAGTGTGTGTTGTTTGACAGCTGTCATGTGCAGAGAATAATTCTGGTTATATGAGACTTTCCGGGGAAAGGCTCTACTGTGTGATAGTTGCATGTTCTCTTCAGACCAAGTTTTACATTTTAATGAGTGAATTGTTTAATGAGTTAATTGCATTTTGGCCTCTCACTCTCTTAGTCTGGAGGTTAGGAATGGGAGGTTGGGAGGCAGCAGAAGAATAAATGGCATAAGACAAATGACTTAAAATGGGGTTTCCCCCCCAATCAATGTTTATGTACATTATTTTATTTCTAGGTATGTTTAACATTTCCCAGATGAAGAACCGGCCAATGATCCTGATCGGTGGGTGACAAATCAGTACGTAATACATATACGCCCTCCCCCACACACCATGGTTTTATTGGATTTAAGGCTCTGGGCCTTGGAAAGGGTTGAATTCCCTAAGCTCAATGTAGTTCTACTTCACTTAGAGCAGAGATGAAATGATTTTTAGAAATGCGGGTCATTTTTAAGACTATCAAAGAAAAAACGGAAGGGATGGAGGGGGAGAATTGGTGAATCGTCTATCAGCTTCAACCTGTAATCATGCTATATGTGGAATGGATCGCTTACATGGATGTTAATAGTTTTCATTTTAAGCTTTAAAAAAAATGCATTTGGTTCTGAGAGTTGTATATCAAGGCCTTAGGCTTTGGCACTGTCTCCCCTGTTTGCATTAAGCAAGACCAGGACAGTGATCGTACAGCATTTCTAGGTGTTTCTTACAAAACAGGATCTGGCTGAGATATTGGTACCTTGAACAAACTGTACCATAAACATTATGAATTAAACTTAAAGGATGCAGGCATCAAGTTAGTGCTGGCAAAGAATTCCTTGATGGTGAGTACTACCGGGTGGGATCCCTGAGCTCACTGGGGTGACACAGTTATCACAAGAAAATCCTGCTCCTTCACCTCACTGCCCGTATCCGAATCTGGCTAAATGGTTTTTGAAAACTTGGCATTTCATCTCATTATCATGCAAGACTCACTTGCATACACCCTGGGGTGAGTACACCACTTACTGTTTGCAGCCTAGTGTCTGTGGGTACTTGTCTAGCACCCAGTGTCTGAGCCCCTAATACATTACCCTAAACTGGGTTAAGGCTGGGGGAGCAATGAGTGTGTAGCATTAGTCCTTGTCTTCCCAAGGACAAGATTGTGTTACCCACCCTTTGCTAGAATGTTTGTCCACAAGTACCTTTGCGTTACCACAAACACAATTCAAGCTCTAATTCAAAGGAGGGGGAGGAACAGATTTCAAACCAGAAATATTCAGAATAGGCTGTTCTCCTCGCATGTTCACCTTAGTGATGGGAGAGTCCTCATTCATCCTCTTCTCTTCCAGCTGGGAATTTTTCAGTGAGGTTTAGCTTTGCTGATCTGCTAGGAAGGTACGAGCAAAGCGGAGCACTGCTGATCTACAGCAGCAGCAAGTTACCAGTGCATTGTCTCTATTGCCGGCATGGAAGTTCGTGGTCCCGCTCTTTGTCTTTTTATGTTGTGTGCCATTGGGTGAGGACAGAGGTGGGATTTGAAGGAAACTTGTGTAAAAGAGGCAGTTTGTGCTGTACCTCTAAAGTGCATAATTGCAGGGTGCCTCTTCCAGCTTTCACTTACCCAGTCATCTGAGCTCCCCTACTCAAAACTTCTATTTAATGGGACACTGACCCTCCCCCAGGGTACTGACTGACGCTCCATTCTGAGCAGCTTTAGTCCTCGCAGTTTGCTACTTCTTGGCCCATGAGGGTAGTGGTTATGGCAAGGCTGGCTGCAGCCAGCAGGCACGTTTCATGAGACTAGCGCTAGTGATCTCGGTGCACCCTGTTGGAATCTTTCCTTTTTGCAAATCCATCACTCTCTAGCAGCAAACCAATTAAGTCTTGATTAAAAGCGAAGGGCATTTAACCTCTAGTCTCCTGGATCTGAATCGAGATATGTAGTCTCTCTCTCTCCCAGAGCCAGTTGAATGGCAGGACTGTTGTGCCTAGCAGGGAAGAAGTTAAATAGACAGTAATCTTCCATGTGAAGTTTTGCCCATGCAAGAGAATAGACCCAGTAGGGTGCAGTGTGGGGCTCGTTGCACTGTATGCTGTGCCTGAGAGACTCTATCAAGAAGCAGCGAAGCAGGTAGGAATTTTCTTTGCCTTGGGAAAGATGAAGCACCATGTGCCACTCAGCAGAGCTGCTCGGACTCCTCTGTGGACAGCTCTTGAACCTGCTGCTTCCCAAGCATCCCACTTAAGAGAGCTACAGCAGCGGTTTGCTGATCCACCCACCCTCTCCTGAGCCCGTGTGTTTCTCAAAGGATTAGTGAAGAAAGGAATAGTGGAGATCTCCTTTAAAAAAAGTGCCTTGTTAAAAGACTTGGCCACTGCTTACCTCTTTGCCCCTTCTTCCTTTGGATTATCGTGAATCACTTCTATTGTGTACATCACGGGCTCCTTCTGACTTGGTGCTTGGCAGTGGGTGCTGTGGAAATGCCAAAGGAGGTTGGGGATTAGTGTGAGGGGTCGGGAAGGCTACCCCAGATTTAAATAAAGATCTAAACTGAGCTGGCAGAGCTCCTGGTCAGAGCAGAGAGAACTGAAGGAATCGGAGCGCCCAGTAACTAAGCCCGTGCACGTCATTTACTCAGCAAGAACTGGCAGCCATGAGGGAGGTTCCCAGCACAGCCTGTCTGGGAGCTTGCAGGCAATGCAGCGAGTGCTCTGTGGCCCAGCTGACTTTTGAGGGCTGCAGTTAGGAGCAGTAACTAGGAAAGTGAAATTATTCGACATACTTGAGAAGATGAGTGGCAGCCAGACCTAGGGGAGGGGGTGGGCAGGATTTGGAGAGGGAAAACAAGGGAGTGAAACAATTTTTTTTTTTAAATTAGCTTTTTTCGGGTGAGGAAGATCTTTATTGTCCCTCTGTCACGTGAACACCCGAACATGACACTGTGCCCAACCCCAGCACTGCTAAGTGGGTCTAGTTAATACCGAGCCTATGAGTGTGGGGAACTGGGAACATTAATAAGGAAATGGAATTGAGTTCCAGGCTTCCTAGGGCTTTTTGTGTTGTGTAGAAGGGGAAACAGTGCTCTGTTGGGTCCTAATTCAGATTCTTAATTGCAAGTAGCAGCCAAAGCTTTTGACTCCTTTTTATTTATCCCTCTCTTCAGAGTCAGCATTGAGATCTTCCCCACTGCTGCAAGATACCCTGCGGAATTCCCAAAGTTCAAAGCAAGGGGGCCACAGACCTGGCCACCGGCAAATGCTGAGAACAAGTTTATCCAAGCAGATGGGAAAAGCATTGAAGAAAAATGTGTTTACAGGGCAGCATACCCTGCCAGGATCTCGCTCCGCACAACAGCCGCTTGCAGCAGAAATTCTGCACACTCAAGCAAGAGGCATTTGCATCTTCCAAAAGTATTTGAACTCTAGCTCGGACACCAAGTGCCTTAGGACAGGAAGTTCTTCTATTACGCACACCAGCCAAATTGCTGTGGACAGTCCCTCTGGGGCAGCTGCTGCTGAAAACCAGTCAGAAGAAAAGGGCCCAGGATCTCAGTCCAAAGCCATACGTTCTGACTTATGCACCAGCGGACCTGGTCCCTCTGACAGCCTGACTCATGTTGACCAAGAGGGGCGGGTGGCCATGGTAGATGTTGGAAGGAAACCCGATTCCGAAAGGACTGCAGTGGCTAGTGCTGTGGTGCGCCTGGGTGAGAAGGCATTTGGGATGGTGCAGCAGAACCAGCTGAAGAAAGGGGATGTTCTGGCAGTAGCCCAGATCGCAGGGATTCAGGGAGCCAAGCTGACCAGCCAGCTGATCCCACTGTGCCACAACATCCCTCTGAGCCAGGTGGACGTGTCTCTGAGCTTGGACAAGAGGAAGTGCGCGGTGGTGATCCAGGCCTTCTGCTGCAGCCAGGGTAAGACGGGCGTGGAGATGGAAGCACTGACGGCTGCCAGCCTGGCTGCCCTGACTGTGTATGACATGTGCAAAGCGGTCACTCATGACATCGTCATTGAAGAGGTGAAGCTGCTGAGCAAGACGGGAGGGCAGAGGGGAGATTTCCAGCGTGGCTAGCACTTATCCCGGAACAGGAGCATCCCCACATGGGCACTGAGGGGCCATATCAGCAGTCAGACTGGGGAAACAACAGCCATCCTATAAAAGAATGTGACCATCTCTGAGTGGCCAGGCCATCTTACTGCTTGGTCGGCAATGGCAGATCACTAGTGTCTGGCCTACGGGAAACGAGATTGCTCCTCCGTTCAGCAAGTCTCCGCATGCATCCATGACCATGCTTAGCAGCCTTGCTAGTAGCCTGGGCAGCGGGGCCAAGAGTTCAGTGAGACTATGGAGCCTCGCCTTGCTGCCATGGATCATAATTGAGGCTCTTCAGCCCTCTGGTATCAGGGAGACTGGCCGGGCTGCTGCAACCCATCCAGTGCTTAGACAGGCACTGGCTTCCCTTGGCAAATGAAGAACACAGTTAGGACAGTTTGTACGTTTGATCAGTGACTGTGGCTTATGAATTGCTCCTTTCTCCCCACCAAAATTGAAATAGGATAAAACGTCAGGAGGAGACAACGGGAGTCATTCTGGCTGTGTCTAGACTGGCCAGTTTTTCCGGAAAATCAGCCGCTTTTCTGGAAAATCTTGCCAGCTGTCTACACTGGCCACTTGAATTTCCGCAAAAGCACTGACTTCCTACTGTAAGAAATCAGTGCTTCTTGTGGAAATACTATTCTGCTCCCGTTCGGGCAAAAGCTTTTGCGCAAAAGGGCCACCGTAGACAGCTCAGATTTGTTTTCCGCAAAAAAGCCCCGATCGCGAAAATGGCGATCGGGGCTTTTTTGCGGAAAAGCGCATCTAGATTGGCACGGACGCTTTTCCGCAAAAAGTGCTTTTGTGGAAAAGCGTCCGTGCCAATCTAGACACTCTGTTCCAAAAATGCTTTTAACGGGAAACTTTTCCGTTAAAAGCATTTACGGAAAATCATGCCAATCTAGACGCAGCCATCGAGTCTTGGCCACGGAGCAAAGATTTTAATAATGGAGAGGGGTCCATCAGCTGGCATTATTCAGTTCAAAGTCAACTAGCCACACCTCCCACGCAACTGCTTGGCTCATAAATGGGTCTGAATAGTACCACAGCAAGGGGATGGGGGCTCATATCCATGAATGGACAATTAGATGTTGGTGGTTGCCACCTAGCGCTCATGGGCATGGTGCAGAATGCAGAGGGCTGCTGGTGTCGAAGGATGTATAATTTGCACATCCTGCCATGGTAGCCAACTCTTGAGCTGTCCCTGCATGTTCACTGGCCATTTCTGAGTCAATGTATGTCCATCAGAACCACTTCCCACAAGGTAGTAGGCCACTTTCCTTGCAGAGTTCTGAAGGGATCCCCAGCAGAGATACGTCAGGGCTTACTGTGCTGCCCCCCTCGAGCAACCATCAGGAAGTGCGACCAAAACTGGGTAGCCATGATAGGTTTCTGAAGAGAGCCATTATGGGCTGGCAACTGAGTGGCTCAGTTTAAACAACCTCATAATTTCTGTACTCTTAACAAGTTTATGGGCTGTGCCGCAAGGCCCCATTCTGCTCTTCGTGGAAGCTGGGGACAAAACTCCCCAAAATAGGAGCAGAATCAAGCCCTTCTCTCTCTTATTTCTGGAATTTGAATAACATCCACCTGTCATGCCTCTTCTGGAATTTGCATTCAGCCCAGAGAGAAAGCCAAAGCTAGGTCTTCCATCTCTCATACTGGTGTCCCTGAACTCAGTGATTCTTTGAACAGACAGTACCATAAACATCCCTTTGCTGTGTTGACTCTGCTCCAGGGGAGGAAATCCTTCAAGGGGAAATTGCAATAGGCACTTAAAAGACTGATTTTCAGGTTTCTAATGGAGAAGTCCTTGATGTTTCTGACTGGTGTTCTCTCTTGGTTGTTAAAGCCTGAACCACTTGAGGCATGTGCCTAGACAAGAATCTCCGCTTTTTTAAAAAAACAAAATTTCCTATCTGTCCTGGTGGCAGAGAAATACTTGCAAGTATGACCTGAATTCATCCTAAAATCCAGAAGGCTAATAGAAACCCTCTGCAGTGGGCTGGCTTGCGTAATGATTTTGAAACATTTGGGCTGTGTCTAGACTGCATCTCTTTTCTGTAAAAGGGATGCAAATTAGACACATCGCAATTGCAAATGAAGCAGGGATTTAAATCTCCCCACTTCATTTGCATAACATGGCTGCCGCTTTTTTCTGGCTCGGAGCTTTGCCGGAAAAAAGCGCCAGTCTAGACGCGGATCTTTCGGAAAATAAAGCCTTTTCCAAAAGATCCCTTATTCCTCTTAAAATAAAGAATGCCGGAAAAAAGCGGCAGCCATGTTTATGCAAATGAAGCGGGGGGGATTTAAATCCCTGCTTCATTTGCAATTGCGATGTGTCTAATTTGTATCCCTTTTACAGAAAAGGGACACAGCCCTGGGGTTGGTAACTCAGCTCTTGAAATTGTCTCCTTATTAGGGATGATCTTCAAAAACCTGCACAATTAACTGCTGCTTTTGGCATGGAAGGAGAACAGACTTAGTAAAATATAGTGATTTGTCATTCTCAATTGAAAAACAATTCCCCCTTACTGTCAAAACTGCAGTTGAAGGTTCTCCCCCCCCCCCCCCCCCCCCCCCCGCACCAC